GAGGAGACGAGAAGTCCTCAGCGTCCACGAATTTCATGGGGATTGAACATGCACTTTCTACAATGATTCCGATAGGAGAAGATGCAGTTGGATTTTTAAAATTGCAAAATGTCCTGTATTATCTGGTATAGCATAAATGCAGATACATGTGCAATTAGTCCTGACGGACAGGGCGCATCGACTTGTAACACTATTTAACCGTGAATGCAATATCAATGAAGATATGCCCAATATTAAGAGGGCACCGTATTTTGTCCTACTCCAATGCAGGTCTCCTCTCGTAGGCTCGCGTACCAGGTCGGTCGCGTTTGATGAAAAATGCAATCTTGTGTCGAAAGATAGCACGATCTCGTAAAGGTTCAGTGTCGTCTTAGGGGCTCAGCCTGATATTTTTATGTTGATTTAATTCAGGTCTGAGAACAGCCTCCACATCAAAATATGGTTTTCGTGTCATCCAGCTTCACAGAATGTGTGTAGGTCTGACCCTCATGTCTTCCTCTTCTTCTTCTCCATGGTACGGCTGCGATCATGCCTGATCTAGTCGGCATCATCGAGGCCTTCTCTGCTTGTCAGTCGCATTTATATAACATCACTCGTTCTTTCGCCTGTGTTAGAGAGAGGGAGAGGGAGAGAGGGAGCACGATAGATCTCATTTCGCAAGTGTCATTCCAAAATTTTCAGCAAATAGGCCTCCATCCACAGTGGATATAAATGGGGCATGCAAAGCAGATACAACGCGTGACCGATCTCATGAAATGTTGGTCGAAATTCTGAATGGAGTTTTCGGTTAGGAAGAACATTGATTATCATACGGCATAACGCTATATTATTTCGGACTCGCCAGGATGTCGCCTTTTGAATGCACTCCTTTTCGACCTCATGCAGAAACCACAATCTGTAAAAATGATCACTAATTCTGCATGCTTTTTCCACATTAATTTTCGACTGTGCCGATAAATTCAAATATATTTTGTAGAAGAAGTGCACAAAATATGCATCATTTACACGTTTGGTCGGTAACCACATTGCGCTCACATTTTATACCCGAAAGTGTGTATTTCAGTTTTGAAAATGTTTCCCAATTCCCGAATCATTTCGAGCCTGATCTGCCACTGCATTGGCGCTTAGCGATTGCAGTCTACAAGGTGTACGCTTTCCGTGTAAGGAAAATCACATACTCCTCTATGCCTTTAAGAAGATACTATATAGATTTCATGAAGTTCTGCAATGGATGTGGACTATGTTGTACATTTCATGAGGAGCACTGTGAAACTGATATGTGCCATGCTGTATGTATGGACATCGCACGGTCTTAGAAATCTCGTAATGCAAAACTTTTGTAAAACCGAAGGATAAAATTGCTTGGGGTATAAAATGTAAAGAGGATGTGACCTTCTGCCAAACAAATGAAAGAAAGCATATTTTGTGCCTTTTTTATATAATGTATTTAAATGTATTTTGTCATCGAAAATTGATGTAAAAAATTCAGACTAACTATGTGGTCATTTTTCAACCAGCGTGGTTTCTTCAGAAGATTATAAGCAAGTGCATTCAAATGGCGACTTTCTGTCGAGTACGAAATTCGATAGCGGTATGCTGAATGATAATCAATGTTACAATCCCACCCAAGTAATTCTTCCCAATCGAAGAATTTCTGCAAATATTTCTTGATATCGGTCAATCACTGTCTTAACCAGAAGATCTGAGGACTGCCATCGTAGTAGACCGACGTGGCTGATGGACTTCGGCCGAAATATTCATACATACAGACTTTGGTGTGAGCCTGTAGACCTTAAGGATTCAGATGTACTCCAGGTTTGCAGTTAATTTCTAAGGAAATTAAAAAGCAACGATGACCTCACTATTGTACATCGGATAAAGAAATAGGGGAAATTGTATGTATATAATTCGCGAAATAGGCCAACAGACGTACATATAAGAAAATTCCCATGTGAATGAAGAGTAGAAAAAAATGATAACCAACCTGTCCTGTGACGGTGGCGGCGGCGGCGGCGGCCGGGATGCTGTGTGGTAGGACAGTCAGCGCTTGAGGCGAGCTTTTGTGCCCTTGGCAGTCCGTTCTCCTGGTCGACAGTCTGTTATTCTCTCAAGACGTCTTCTGTCAGCCTGACACCTCCTGCCATTTGCAACGCACGTGACATGACCACGTCGTGGAGACGACTTGACGCCAATCGGCGTTGTGTCATTTGATAAGAAGTAGAAGCGATCGTTGGAATAAGAGCCTTATTCGCCCGACGCTTCGGATTCTCTCTCGAAGCCATCATCAGAGGCAGTAGCAGAAACGGATGAGTCGTGCACGGGAAGTTGCAGTATTTATAGGCTGCAGTCGCTATGCCACTGCATGCCAATGATAATTAATCGTCCTTCCCCCCCCCCTCATCGAGGATTTTCAAGCAAGTTACCCGAAAATGTGACTGCGAGATGACTAACTGTTAGCTTATGCTCGCAATTGACTGTGTACACGAAACCTGTACGGAAGAGTGCAGTTTATGCCAAAGTCAAACAACTGCAGCCACGGATTTCCCTGCGGCTCCTCGAGGATTTGTATCCTAACTGGTCCAATGCCTTTATGGCGCATGTCCAATGGAAAACTGGACATGGGCGCAATGCCGATCGTCCTCTGGATCATCCGGAGCGAAGGACATGTCACAGTTTTGTCTAAAACGCCACGTCAATATTCACAACGGACTGCAATCCACCGCCAGTGCCATCAGTCATTGACAATAGTTCTGTTTGTGGATCATCGTCGGAGGCACTTTTTGGCTCATATAGGCCGAGCGGTTGTTTCAGAGTCTCGGGCGACCTGCGAACTGGTTAAGGAAATTGCAGCCATTGGCGAACTCCACAGTATGCCGCACAGACTGAAGGCAGCACAGGCGAGGTTCGCGTGAATCCGTTTATTGCGAGGCAGACCTGCGCAACATCTACCCCACTCCCTCCCTCCCTCCCTCGCACACCCACCTGGCTCCGATGGAAAGACAATGTCCAGATGAGCGGAGGTGGGATCGGATGCAATGGTGGACAAAGCTGCAAACA